TATACACTTAACGCGTCTGCTACCTTCTATTCTACCCATTGTTTTTTCCAGGATCTCAGGACTCACGAGAAGATTAGGAATGGTAAACGGATAGGGGGGTTGTATTACTTACAGTTGCCGGCAGTAGCAATTCGTGGTTGTGTCGCTAATAAAGCTCCGAGTGGCAGTGTCAAAGACAAGCAACAACTTTGGTTATGGCATCGTCGCTTAGGACATCCGTCGTTTGGTTATCTTAGACATTTATTTCCTTCGTTATTTAGTTCGTGTGATGAGTCTAGTTTCAAATGTGAGACTTGTGTAATGGCCAAGAGCCACCGTACTATTTTTCCCTTAAGTAATAATAAAGCTGTTTTGCCTTTTAAGTTAGTACATTATGATGTCTGGGGTCCTGCTCGTGTGACTTCTCATGGTTTCCGTTGGTTTGTTACGTTTATTGATGACTGCACTCGCTTAACATGGGTGTATTTGATGAAGAAAAAACATGATGTTGCCTTTATTGATGACTGCACTCGCTTAAAATAGTATGACCCATGTAAACCTATGTTTGGCCCAACCTGGCCCAACCCAATGGCCGAGCTTGGCGGCCTGTCCTGAAATCAAAAAAGCATGAGAGGGTACACCAAACTCTGTCACTAGCCTTACTTCTTCGAAATGACCAAAAGTCAACAGAAGAAGAGCTTGCCACAAAAGAAACCATCATTTACTTCATCTTTTGCACAAATTCTACCTCCCAAATTTAGACTCCACAACAACAAATCACCAAGAAGCTCATACCACCCACACAAAGAATTAGTTTCAAGCTTGGATATGCAATATATGTATTGCTTCATTACTGCAGCACCTTCTCTTCTCAGATTTACTTCGAAGGCATGCCTACTCCAATGTGATGGCTGAATCTGCTTTAACCTACTCCATACATCTTCACCAAGTTTCTTTATTTCTTCCATTGCCTCTGTAAAAGTCGCAGCATCATACGCTTTAGCTACTTTCCAAAAGTTATTTCGCAATAGAATGTCAGGATTCCTTTTTCTCATCAGCATCATACGCTTTAGCTGCTTTCCAAAAGTTATTTCGCAATAGAATGTCAGGATTCCTTTTTCTCATATTGCTGTAGATATGTCTACAACAAAATCTATGGCAGCATCATACGCTTTAGCTACTTTCCAAAAGTTATTTCGCAATAGAATGTCAGGATTCCTTTTTCTCATATTGCTGTAGATATGTCTACAACAAAATCTATGTGGAGAGTGTGGAAATATGTCGGAAATTGCATCAATAACTCTCCGGAAACATACAAAAAATCTATTAGCAGAATCCCAAAAAAATTAAACATAAAATTATAAAGCCAAAGACAATTGTTCTTAGAAATAGTCGGTTGTTATAACTTAGAACTGAACTATCAGAGCTAGCACAGAGACAAAAGATATGAAAACCATGCAACACACTGGTGGATGAAAATGGGACCTTCCTCCTGATAACAAATACATAAAAAAAGAAGCAGAAAATGTTAGATTTGCTAGTTTAGGTATATAACAAAAAGAAGCAGAATATGTGTGGTGGTAGCTCACCTCATTCCTTAACCATGAAGTTGGGGGTTCGATCCCCGCCCATGGGAACGAAGCGCATTTTGTGGCTAGCCGTTTGCCTTCATTGGGAGAGCTCCCGCGGCGAAAGGGATTAGTCACTACTGTCGGCGGTGGATACCCTTGGGTCTCACCTAAAAAAAAAAAGAAGCAGAATATGTTATATGTGTTTTGATAACATGATGTTTAAACTGCAAGGCTTAACTCTGTCTAACCAAATCCCAAAACTGAAAACTTTTTGGAATAAGTCCTTTTATTCAGCTGGAATGCTGGAATTCTAATCATTGATTACATTTGGAAGCTAAATAAATGTAAAACCACATATTACAGTTCTTATTGTTTATTATACATTTAGCTTCTATTATTTACTCTCTCTCTGATCTTCTTCATCTGGCCTTTACTCATCATTTTCAAGTAGAAGCTCCACAACCTTACTCATGGCTGGCCTTGCACTGCGATCATCTTGAACACACAGTAGAGCAACTTTCATCAATGTTTCGAGCTTCTTCTTATCGAGTTCACCAAGTAGTCTAGGATCAAGCACTTCCTCAAGCCCTTCTTCTCTGATCTTTTCAGTCACACATTGTGCCAATTGGTTGCATTCATTGTACTCTTCGGCAAGAGCTGCAACGAGAATAGAAGCACTTTTTCCACTCAGTAGTTCCAACAAAACAATCCCATAGCTATAGACATCTGCCTTTGCATCAATTTTCAGGTTCATCATCCACTCTGGAGCCATATAGCCTCTGGTGCCTCGCGCTTTCGAAATTCCCATCCCATCGATGTCCCTGATGCCATGGATGTCTTTGAATAGCTTTGACATGCCAAAGTCTGCCACTTTAGGTTCAAGGTGGTCATCTAACAGTATGTTTTGAGGCTTTACATCACAATGGAGCACCCATTCTAGGCATTCCTCATGTAAATATGACAAACCCTTTGCTGTGCCAAGAGCAATGTTGTATCTCTGCTCCAATCCTAGTTCCCCATCTGATGTGAACAAGATTTTGTCCAGTGATCCATTCTCCAGGTACTCGTAGACGAGCAGCTTATGCTCATTGTCCGCACAGAAACCCCATAGTTTAACCAAGTTCCTGTGATTGATATTCCCTATCACACTCACCTCTGCCCAAAACTCTGCATCTCCTTGCAAGATGCCATCTAGTCTCTTCACAGCAACAACTCTTTCATCTTCTAGAACACCTTTATACACAGTTCCAAAACCACCTTTTCCTACCTCCTGTTTAAAGCCATCGGTGGCTCTTTTTAGTTCTGCGTACGTGAAACGCTTGAATCCCATGGCTAATGCGATGTAACCCATATTCACAAATTCCTCATGAGCATGCTTTCGGAAGGCGTACCACCATGTCAAACCAATGCAGATTGCTTCAATTATTGCAAAGCATATGAAATATGAAATCCATTACGGAGAAAACTTTTGGGGAAACATTGTCCTCTTCCATCCAAAGCATATCCAAATCCTTTGCATCTTGAATCATATAGGCACGCATTCCTGCATGCTTCAAAAGAAACTCTAGGAGCATAGGTATCCAAGTCAAATCCATAGTAATCTGAGTTAGTAAGCTCCATAAAGTCCAACTTGTTTGCATCAAGAGTCAAATTGAACGAAGGTGAGCAGCCTTTTGACTTATCTGAAGGATCGTTTAGGGAGAAACCATAAGGGCAAGTACAAGTAGGTAGTGGTTTGTAAGTGCACAAACTGTATTCACCACACGAGCCATGAACCAGGCAAACACCAACAGCATCAGGCAACCATGAGACTTCCCAAAGCCCTGTTGATTCATCTAGACTGTACAATCTTAACATGCCGTCATAATCCAGTGTTAAACGACGCTTTGGACCAAACCCATAATCAGATGCATTAAACACCAAACCGTCACTTGATATAAATTCTCCAACCCCATCCAAAATTGCTACTCTAGAGCTATTGTAAGGTGTTCTACCAAAGTCAAAAACATTTACACCTGGCATTGGCCAATAAGCACTCGAAAATTGAGGGCCATTGTAAACGAGATATAAGACATTACTATCACCGAATTTGAAGTTATAGAATCCAGATAAGTATGTACCTTGACTTCTCATGGACACCAAGGTTGTGTTCCTGACAAGTTCCTGTGATGGTAGAAGAGTATCTGTAGGAGAATCAAAACTCTGCCAGAGGACCTCCTTTGATTGGTTGATCAACACCAAGTTTCCGGTCTCAAGAAGCTGAGCCTCCACGCCTGCATCAGAGAAAGTGTTGGTTGACCATACAATTGATCCAACCCCATCAGTCAAAACCAAGTTGCCATTTCTGTGGAGAGTTAGCTTGTGTTGACGCTAAAAAATGGTTCAGTACTTTTTAGCCCAACTTAGAGATGAGGTATGATGATTGATGGGTGAAGGTGAGGACCTTCAACATGTGTGTGAAGATTTGGGCAAGCGATAAATATACAGAAGACAAGATATACGTGGTTCACCCTTAATGGATGGGCTACGTCCATGGAGAAGTATATTATCATTATTATAGCAATGTGTATTTACATTTGTACAAGGGGCTGGGCCCAAATATAAAGAGAGAAAGGGAGAAGCCCATGACTGAATACAAAGCCCAACCTAGGGGGGATCCCTTCCTAAGTGGAGAGTGGTCTCCTTTTATAGATGAGAGGGAGTCTTCCCTTCTTGCAATATTTCAATGTGGGACTCTTGGCCTTGCTTAGAATTGCTTCTAGTTGCTTGGTCAAATATGGTATAAACACCCAACCTAGGGGGGATCCCTTCCTAAGTGGAGAGTGGTCTCCTTTTATAGATGAGAGGGAGTCTTCCCTTCTTGCAATATTTCAATGTGGGACTCTTGGCCTTGCTTAGAATTGCTTCTAGTTGCTTGGTCAAATATGGTATAAACAGCTTGGACCCTCTTCCACTAACAGGATTATCTCTGTTAGCCATCCAGACAACTGTTTTATTGACAGAATTGGTGAACCATATTGAATAACAAGAGGCATTGGTGCCAACCTTGTAAAATCCACTGGAGAAAGTTCCATTTGGTGAAACCAAGAAGTCAATCTCTTCCTCAACTTTCAAGGAGCTCCCCTGCCTTAAGCTAGGCAACCCTGCTTCACTCCAATCAACTGTTGCTGCAAACAACAAAAGAAGGAGAAATTTGAGAACTTCCATTGGAGGTTTTGAAAAATGCTTTAGGCCTGGAGATGCTCGTGTGCCAATCTGGACTATATAAGGTTGCAAAACTTCTTGCAATGAAATTCTGCAGAATCTTCATCCTTTTTTTTTTTTTTTTTGGATTGTTATGCAAAATCTTCTTCAAGTATGCACAAAATTCAACTTTTTAGATCAGATTCTTGATTCTAGAACTAACTAAAGTTATTTTATTTAATGCTTTTCTTTCCATGCAATATTACAAGTCTATCAGATTCAATGACTCAGTCGGTCAAACTGCCGGCCATCTATTAAATACACTTGAAAGCTGGAATATTGAAAATGAGAGAGAGAAGAATAAGCTCTCCAATTCCCTCCATTGTGTGGTGTGGGATGAACCTACAGATTTTACTTATAAATTTGGACGTTTCTATGTTGACGCTTATATCTTAAGTTGTCATTCTATCTGCAAAGGACCCACTAGTGTAGTAGTTTGGAGTATTTGCTCCCTTAGGTAATGTCTTGGGTTCAAGTCTTAACACCCGTGTGTAGTGTGTGTGAGTTTAGTATGTTCTCGCTCCTCTTAATAGCAAAGGTCCTTAAAAAAAAAAGTTGTCATTCTATCTTATATGGTTAACTTAATACCCAATTTAACTACCTATTTAATGTATTTCTTGACTCCGATTCCTCTTCTCTTCAGGGGGAGAGTAGGATTGAAGAAAAGTTGTGTCTGTGTGAATTAGCCAAAGTTGATATGGAAGAATTTGTCATTGTTTTCAGCTACCGTTTTTGTGGTCTTTGCCGTGGCCACTGCTGTCGCCTTTGATGTTGCCTGTGTTTGCTGATCGGTGCATATTCATATATCATTTTGTACCCTTCTAACTTATGATTTGATTATGTTTTTGAGTTAAACTTGTGCTTTTAATAAATTTTGTGTTTGTTTCAGTGTAATAAGCTTGAGACTCATTAAATGCATTTCGGAGACAAGTTAGCTCAAAACGGTGTCTGCAGATCAGTCAACTTCACGAATTGAACTGTACTTGCTCAGGATGAACCATATGATGAGCCATATATCATTGGAAAGATACGGAAGTCTAGTTTCTGGAGCATTTTACGGTTCATGATTCCGAGTCTTCTAGAGGAAGTTATGCAAGTTTTGGCAGCTTAAGGTCAAATTCGGCAGTATCTGCGTTACTGGGCCAAAAATGACATTTGAAGGTCTTTCCGATTTTTTCTTGAGTTGGGCTGCATATGCTTGGAAAGATAATTCAAAGGGTTTGAAGATCCAGATTTTTCCAGATTTTTTAGGAGGGAAGATCAAGCCCAAAACAAGCCCACAAGCTGACTGCAATGCATTGTCAATTCCAGTCTATTTTCAGCAGTCAACTTGTAAGGCCCAAAACGTATACTTGTACTGCTCAGATGGGAATACATTATTCATAAAAGTTGTTCCAATGTTTGTCTATTATGACATATCCAAATTTGAGCCCCATTGGATATATATTGAAACCTCAGGCCTTCCTACACCAAGCCTGGTTCAGAAGAATCGTTTTTTCCAGCAACCAAAAGAAAACCCACATGGGTTGGCAGCAAAAAACAGCCACAATTGAACACCTTTGAAATTCCATGTGAAGAAAGCTTGAGGTGCAGCAAAAGAAGTATGGGATGGAATTGATTCCAACCACACTAACATAGACAAGATGAA